TGGACAAGCGTGACTGTCGGTAGCCTAGGGGTTCAGATAAGCTGAAAGGGGCAGGTTTGGAGTGTGATTTCTGCTTTCCTGTTTACTTTTCTCTGGTACAAAAGCACACAAATAATTGAGAGAAGCATTCTCTTGGAAACACAACCATGAACAAAGCTAGGGGGAAACCTGTTTCAGTATTTTTGATGAAATCGACATTCTACCTTTTGTTCTGTCACTACAAAATTTATACTTAACATAGGATAAATAGTAGAACATAATAGAAAATACCTGTTGTGTGTTGTTATTTTTTAACTACATTCCTTTCACTGGAAGGGTATCAAATATCTATAAAAATAAAACTGGATGCAATATAATATGGAGCTAAACTGTGGACTATGGAAGGGGTTATGATAGAGGTGACTGCAACTGCATACAACAGAAAATAGATTCTGTATTACGTGTTTAAACCTGAACCTTTTTCCTTACACTGTCTTCATCATTTTTAAAACAGTTTTGGTATTTTTCTGGGCAAAAGTGTTTTCCTGGAACACAAAAATTTAAATTTCATGATTTTGAATGAAATAGAAAGTCCTATATCCAACAACTTTGACTGCTTCTCCCACCTTCTCAGAGGCTAATGTCTGATGAAATAATGACCTAATAGGGTGTAAGTGATCAACCTAATTAATCCTTACCTTTGTGGTGAAGCATTTAAAAAAAAATACACTTTAGGTGTATATTCAGGTGATTTTTAAAGCTACCCTCTCATGTCTTTGATACTGTTGTTTGATAAAGTATTCCATGATGACATTGTGATTCACACTAAAAGAAGTGAAAACTGCTGTCTGGTGGACTAAATTTTTGTGTGCTACTGAAGCTATGACAAATACTAGCAGATACTCCAAGTGTGCTGTGGTAAATACTGTAAAGCTTTAGGATCTTGACTGATCTGGCTAGGGTCTCACTTTCCTGCTATAGAACTGTCAATAATGTCTTCTTCAGTCACTAACTGGTCACATTTGCATATCCACATTTGCAGGCAGTAGTTGAACTCCTCAAACATGGGGCTGACCCAAATCTGCCATTAAGTGGAGCAGTAAGAAGTGCCCTCTGTGCAGCTGTCAGTACGGCATATGAACAGCAGAGAATGACAACACAGTGGATTGCTTTGGTGAGATAACATCTGGGTGTTTGTTTGTAAATTTCAGAAAAACAGTGATTTTTGTCAGGTGCATTGAGTCCCCTTTCTCTTCAATGGGTAAGCTGATTTTTTTTTCCCCCAGAACAATTAATTTGTGTCTATTCCTAATGCTGTTTGTTTCTGTCCTGAGAAACAGGGGTTTTGCATGGAAATTCATTTTCATGTTTGAGTAAAGAGGATGATAACCTCCTTGTGTAGAAGAGGAAAAACTACATTAAAGTCAAATGGGATGGTTGTAGTGCCCACAACCCTGTCAAAACTGACTGTTAGCTTGTTTATGAAAACAACCAGCATTCATATGAAGAGACATGCATTGTGTTTGGTTGTTATTGTAAAGTGGTCAATACCACTTGTGAGGAGCACACTTTCTCATCTATGATGAGGTCAATGGCAGTGTTTGGCCTTGTGAAAATTGGAATTTTTCTCCTCATCCCAGGGAGCACAGAGCTGATCTCATTCAGTGTGGAGGTGAGGAAGGCTGCAGCTTTGGGGTCTGGAAGCACAGGCAATTTCCCCAGATGGGTTCTGTTCTCCCCCCTCCCTCACTAGTTGTCCCTGCTTCATTTGTTGCTGCAGGTTTGTGAGATATTCAGAAAGAAATAGCAAATGCCTGCAAGAAGATTTTACTTGCAAAACACATTTAGATTTGACAATTCATCATCAGCTCTAAAAGGGCGGAAGAAAAGCATAGTTTGGTGTACAAAATAGTCTCACAAATAGCATCAGGTTAAGCTCTGATGTTCCATCCTGTCTCTTTAGATGTGGTGTGAGTGCAATTTTTTGGGAAGGTTTTCTTTTTGCTTGGATGTGTAATGATTTGCTTTCTTCAGGTTGATAAGCTGCTTGAAGCTGGCGCAGATATCCTTGCACCAGTTCCTCTGAGGGAAGGACAGAGAAAAGCTGTGGGAACAGCTGTTGACTATGCCTATTATAAATATTATCAGGTATGACCTCAGTTCCCATATCTTAAAGTACTGTTCACTTGCATCCATTCAAATACGTGGCCTGGTGTGTCCTTATGAATTGGCTACGGCCTTCTTCAGAAACTTTCATGGAGATTTGCTTTTTCCCTTCATTTGTTGTGAGACTCAGTTCAGCACTAAATGAAATGTTAATCACTTAAAATCTGAATACCTTTAATAGTTTTGCCTGTGAAGGCAATCCTTGCTGTCACATATTATAGTAAGATTCCATTAATAATCAGATTGGAAAGAGTTAATTGTAATATTAAACCCAGGCATTAAAACCGAAAGTAATATGTGTTTCTGTGAGGCTACAATCAAATCAGGAAAAGTTATTATGGGTAATTTTAGATGTATTGTAAGATATCATAGGACATTATTGATCAAACTTTAAAATAATAGATTTAGTAAACAAAACCAAACACACACATTAAAATATATATTAGGTATTATATGTTATATATAAAATAACTACATATTTAATAAAGAAAGAAATTGATTTACTAAAGTTGTCCTTAATAATTTATTAATCATTTATAAAAGGAAAACTTTTGGTACTTCCAGATGAGGGCAGCTTCCAAGTGCAGGGTCCGCATCTGGGTCGGGGGATGAAGGGATAGAGAGCAGCTCCATGGAGAAGGACTTGGGGGTCCTGGTGGGCGAAAACCCGGACATGAGCCTGCAATGTGCTCTCACAGCCCAGAAGCCAACCGTGTCCTGGGCTGCCCCCAAAGCAGCATGGCCAGCAGGGCGAGGGAGGGGATTCTGCCCCTCTGCCCCGCTCTGGGGAGACCCCCCTGCAGTGCTGCGTCCAGCTCTGGAGCCCTCAGCACAGAAGAGACATGGACCTGTTGGAGCAGGGCCAGAGGGTCATAAAAAATGATCAGAGGGCTGGAACAGCTCTGCTGTGAGGACAGGTTGAGAGAGTTGGGGTTGTTCAGCCTGGAGAAGAGAAGGCTCCGGGGAGACCTTATTGCAGCCTTCCAGTGCTTAAAAGGGGGCCTTTAAGAAAGGTGGGGACAAACTTTTTAGCAGGGCCTGTTGCGATAGGACAAGGGGTAATGGTTTTAAACTACAAGAAGGTAGATTCAAACCAGATACATATAGAAGAAATTTTTGACAATAAGGGTGGTGAAACCCTGGCACAGGTTGCCCAGAGAGGTGGTAGACGCCCCATCCCTGGAAACATTCCAGGTCAGGTTGGATGGGGCTCTGAGCACCCTGCTCTAGTTGAAGATGTCCCTGCTCACTGCAGGGGACTTGGACTAGATGACCTTTGAAGGTCCCTTCCAACGCAAACTATTCTATGATTACTCCTTGGAGAAACATTTGAAAATTGTTTTACTTAACTTGTTGAGCACTCACCAAATTGATAATTGAAAGAACTAGAATGTCTAACCTGGACATGTCCTATGCTCTGTATCACAGACTGAGCTCCAAGCCAGGGTCCAGCAGGGACGATGCTGTGCTTTTGGAATGGGCTGGCTTTAACTCTGAACACTTGTGTGTTAGTGTTCCCATATATTAGTGGATTAACTCATGGTTATGTTGCAGGATAGGAGAATTGCTCACACACCATACCACATACTGTCAGCATCTGAATGGAAAGTTTTTCCAACACGCCGATCACTCCTGGAACATGTTACAATGAAGCTCCGTGAACATGTCATCCTGAAAGAGAAAGAGTGGGATCAGGGAAAGCTGAGAAGATCCAAGAAATGTTAGTTCAAGCCTAAGAGTAGTTCAAGATTAAGGGTAGCATCACCTGGTGTGAAGGGGAATTTATTGTTATAATTCCATTGTTCCTGTCTAAAAAGGTAACTTCTAATAAAAACTGCTCCTACATATTTGGTAAGGAGATGTAGGGGTTCTACAAACATTAAAAAGAATGAACAAGGCATTGTGAAGAAAATATGAATATGAGTGCCTGTCAGCTGCTTCCTGGTAAATCCCTTCACAAGATCTATTCTGTTAAGGAGTGATTGAGGGAGCTTGCTCCTCTTTTATGGGAGAACCTTGGAATTGCTTTGCATTTAGTACAGGGAACATTCCTGATGGCAACTTACTCTCAGGTCCTTTCATAAAGACTCTCATTGTGCCAATGATCTTCTGCTATCAGAGTAGCAACAATGAATATATAAATTAAGATGTATTGCTTTAAATGGGTGGTGAAATCAGCTTAGAATCTAGGTCTCCAAATACCAGTCTTTGGGGCAGAAGATGTATCACACTTGGGAAGTGAACTCTCAATATAGGATTGTTATCTTTGTAGTTCAATATAACCCGGGACTCTGTGGCTTGTTACAAGCAGTAATTATCTGTATGGTTTCTTCCTCTTGGCTGTGAAGTAGCAACCTGGCCCCTTTTTTTCTTGGCTTCTGAAGCTTGTTGATGGAAAATTTATTTTATTATGTATCTTCGAATTTTGTACAGTAGACAGAGCAAAGCAGACTTTTAATGAAGGTGGATCTTGTGACTAGTATTCTCGTTCTCAAGTCAGAATACCAATTCCCCCCCCCCCGCCTTTTGTTGGTGTAGTGGATTCAGCCGGTCATGCACGTGTTTCAAAGAAGAAAGGAGGGAGCCATCATGTGGAGAAAGTGAGGTAGGACAGAGATACTGCACTCAAGTATTGACTGTTCTTAGTCAAAAATACTATGCTCTGTTTTTTTTCTCACTAAAACTACTGTCACCTTGCCATTTTTCTTCTTTCTAATTTTCCTCTCTAGTCTATCCAGGCTTAGCAGCTTTGAGTAGCATGCAGCTTAGAGTAGCATGCAAATGCTAGGTGTTATAATTTACCTGTCCAATTGAGTGAC